GACACCCCAAAGAGATCATTCTGAAACATGTCTGCAGCCAAAATAAAAATTTTAATTTAAAAAGCACAGTTAGGGGTGCCTGGATGACTCAATTGGTTCAGTGTCTGACTCTTGATTTCAGGTGAGGTCATGATCTCAGGGTACTGAGATGGAGACCTGTGTGGGGCTCTGCACTCAGGGGGGAGTTGGTCTGAGATTCTCTCTTGCCTGCTCCCCATGCCCCTCCCTCCCATATTCTCTCTCTTTCTCTCTCTCTCAAATAAGTAAATCTTTAAAAAATTAAAAAAAAATAAAAAGCACACTCAGACCCAGTTGTGTTATGCCTCTTTAATGTAGTGTTAAATCTTGCCCTTGAAGCACTAAGTTCCATAAAAATTTTCTATATCCCAACAGGCTTATAGGACAGATGTTGGACTTGTCGCCTATATTATCCTGGAAGGGGAAATCTGTATGTGTGCAATTGTCAGGCTATGTGAAATTTACTAATTTTTCAGAGACTGACTCAAATATAAAGCATGGGCTTTCTTAATTTGAGGATAGGCAAAAGCATAAAATTTGTTGTCCAGCACTACAACTAAACTTAAAGGGAAATATTTTTTAAAGCAGTTTTTAATACTCTTCCCATATAAAATCATAAGTATCACTAGTCACAGTTCACGGTACTTTCCTTATTAGAAGTAACTATCATAATAAAATGGTAATGATGGCTATAATGGCTACTATCTATTGAGAATTTACTAGGTGCCAGGCACAGTATTAAATGCTTCACATAGATTTCCTAATTTAATACTGGCAACCCTAATGAGGCAGGCACTATTATTATTGCCATTTTATAGATATTGAAAATGAAACAGAGCAAAACATCTCCCCCTATTCCCTGGTGTTCTATATTCAAAGGATCACTGCTTGACAGAACTTTATGCTTAGCTGTAGCCTTGGGATGAAGTCCAAACTCTAAAGCTTAGCATGAATGGTCTTTGAAGATCCCATCCCTGACTACCTGCCTCTTTAGCTTCATCACCTTACTACCCCATTCACCCTTTATGCTGGTTCTTAGTGACCTGCTTCATGTAGCCATATTCCTGCTCTCACTCATTCCCTTTCCTCAGCATTGTAGAGACCAGACCTATTCATCCTTTAAAACCAGCTCATCTTGGAAAAGCCTTTGCTGATATTCTAGCTAGATCCAGCTGCCTCCCCTCTATGCATGTTCCAGTTATAGAATTATCACACTGTGATATATCCAGTGAGCTATTTGTCTCTGTTCAACTACTGGACTTTAAGTTCCATGACATTAAGTATGATATTAGTTTTGATAGCTTGAGTGCCTTACACAGGATCAAGCAAGCATGCAGTGGGCACTCAAAAAATATTTTTTGAATGAGTAACCAAATCTTAAGTGATCACCCTATTTGTTCTTCTCTCAATCTTCCTGCTTGAAAATATTTGCTAAACAGCCATTTCCTCTAATTTCATAATATTCAAAATTATTAGAAGGAGTTCTACACAGGAGTTAAGGAATCTAGTTCTTGTCCCATGACTATCATTTAGTAATTGAATGACCTTGAAGACTGACTCATTCAACATTTTTTTCACACGTTTGCCATGTACCAGGAACTATACACCACAGTGAGGATACAGCAGTGGGTACAACAGATAATAACCCCTACATCACAGAATGTGTATAGCCTAGAGCTCTATTTCTCACCATAAAATCAAAAAAGTTAGACTAAGGTCCTCCCAAGTCTAAAATTCCATGAAACGATAAACCAAACCTTAAATCTCTTAAAATATAGTATAAAAGTGCATAAGAATATAAAGTAAAAATAACACCAGGCAAATCAGTTCATAACCAGCCTCTGGTATAATTAATCCACGAGTATTAATTCTTCCTTCCAGAAATAGATATCTTATAGAGAAACAATATTACAATCTTTTTTAAAGATTAACTTTGATTTGATCTGATGCAAAATACCGGCACTCTCTCTAGCTGTAAGTAGTAGACCTGACAAGGATAAAAAGGGGGAAAAATCAGTTCAAGGCAATTAACAATGATTAGAAAGAAAATTCCATTTTATCCCCTAGGAATGTGAATCTGTTCTATACATCTAATGTTAGTCACAACATAAAGAACATGTTCTCTAATCAAACTTTATTTGTGTGAAGAATTTTTTAATTCATGGTAGTTGGACCAAAAAAGGTAAAACAATACTAGTGTACAAATTCCATAGTAAAAACTAAATTAGCCTAGATTCTCAGCTGCTTCATTAAAGAATTAGGTAGAAGAGGTCATAATTATTTATATCCAAATCTCAGCTGGAGAATATTTTATTTTATTTTATTTTTTTAAGATTTTATTTATTTGACAGAGAGAGACACGGCGAGAGAGGGAACACAAGCAGGGAGAGCGGGAGAGGGAGAAGCAGACTCCCCGCTGAGCAGGGAGCCCGATGCAGGGGCTCGATCCCAGGACCCTGGGATCATGACCTGAGCCGAAGGCAGATGCTTAATGAGCCACCCAGGAGCCCCTGGAGGACATTTTAAATGAACAATAATGCAAGTAATTTTAAGGGAAGGGAAAGTCCTTGTAGCCAAGCCTATAAACCCAATATTGACAGACATTATTAGCATATTACCTTCCTGATCATATTCTGAGAGGTGTTTGGACAGGAAATCTAATTCTCTAAAGATAAAGGTTGAATTATTCTTATCATAACTGAGAAAAACATATCAATTCTTTAACATGCTGTGATCACAAGATGTACTCCCTGATACACCCCTTTCCCTCAAACTTGTTGACATTGGGTTGTTGCTATTGACAGTTTATGTGGACCCTGAACTATGATAAAAAAGATAAACACAGAATACTGGGTTTGTTCTTCCATTAAAGTCATAAATCACAGCAACTAAAATAGACTTTCGAGTTATATGGTGAGTTTTCACATGTTCTAGTTGAGGAAACCGAGGCCTGTAGAGGTGAACAAAATTACTGCAAATCCTACAATCGGTTAGTGGCGGAGCCATGATGAGGAGAGTTGAGTTGCCCCAACCCAATGTTTTCTTCCCATCATTGTATTATGCCAGTGCTTTCTGGGTGGGTTGACTTTCACCTCACAAGTTCCCGTTCATTACATTGAACCATAGCATCAGGTTTAAGAGTAGGAGTGGTAGGGGCAATACTGAAGCAGTTTAGATGGTTGGCTTCTTTTTTTCTTGGAAAATCAATACCTCTGAGTGTTTGTGGGAAGAAAAACAACAACTAGTTTGTACATCTGCAGCATAACTGGTGTGTTAGAAATGAAACAAAAAGCTTTCCTCATCTAACTAAATTTGAGAGCGTGAATAAGCTGAATTTCCCCATCTGGAGACTCTCAGACTAGACAAGACTTACAAATTAATATGAGTGTATAGGTCTGGGGCCTGAAGGAAATTAGGTCAGGCCCAGAAAGGAATCAGGTGGCTGACCACAAGTCAGAATTTTAATATGAATTCAAAACAAAGGGCAGAGATCTAATGCTATAATTCACTGAACACCACTAGGACTACACCAGAGTGTGTGATGAGGGAGCCTTCAGGACAAGAAAATAGAAAGGGAAACAATACTAAAGAACAGGAAATGTTTTAATCCAAGTACAATCTAGACTTTGGTCCTCCTTTTGATCAACTCTTCTCTGCCCTCCCCCCACTGCCTTTTCTCTCCCTGTCTTCCCTCTCTTACTTTCACATCGTATCTCATCCCATATTCTCTTTATGTAGAATATTCCTGCTTTCACGCTGCAGTTTTATTTTTCTCCCTTGACTTCATTTCTGAGAATTGAGATCCATAGCAAGACACAGAAGAAGTACTTTGATAAGGAATATAAAACCAGTCTGAGATGAAAATTATCAGAACAAATTTATTGCTTTGGTGTAGCTTAGGGTCAAAATTGAAATGTGTAGGAGCATTTTTAAGAATGTAGACAGGAGATTCATTCCCTGGAATCTGTTTTCTTAGGGTCTCCAGCTCACTCTCCAAAGACATACTTTGAATTCTTTGTATATGCCCTCTGGTGAGAGGGTGGCATTATGAGAGCCAAGCCAGGGATGTTCCAAATGCATTCTGCCATTAAGTATTGGTATGAAAAGTTAGAGCATGTTTCTCTCTTGGGAATCTCTTGTGGCTTCATCCCTGAGCAAAGGTCTGAGCTACCAAAAGTTCAAGATTGATTTTTAGAGAAAAGAAGTGAAGAATTTTCTAGCCAACCAAGAAACAGATTCTTTTGATGAAATGCCAGAATAAGAGAAAAAAAAATTCTACATGGGGTACTATGACAATTCTCTAAAGGCAATGACTGGAAGAAGAATGCAGGTATTTTTGGAGAGAGGGTTATAGCCTTCAGAATTTCATTTTCTGTAAAGTTCTTGTGGTTAACATAAGTTTAAAAATGTGTTCCTGTACAGAACATTTCAGATTCATTTATGCAGAATTATGTAACACTTGGAAAAAATCTCCCTTAAATTCTCATGTATTATGGGGACACAAAATTCTACAAATTATATTTGTGAATATCCAGTTCCCTCTATCATCACAAATTCTCAAAGTATACTAAATGTGGAAAGTGTGTCATTATAATACACTCACTCTCTCTCTCACTGCAATGATTGCCCATAGGCCAGTTACCCAGTGATTCATTGGTACTAGCCCTGCATTGGATATGTCAGATAAGATCACACATTACTTATCTAAACACTTCTACAGCCTGGCCGGTCACTTTAAACAGTCCATTGAAATCTTAACCCATTACTCTTTAAAAAATATATAACGATTTTCCGGAAAACTTTCTCAAAAGAAATCACTTGTATCACAGACGCCCCCTTCCACTCAGCCCCTAAAAAACATTAGACAAATCGACAGTCCCAAGACATATTTCTGGACTCATCTTTCACTGCCTCCAAATTCTAGAAAGGAAGATTTTCCTTTTCACTTAAAAATGGAAAATGTGACAAATGTAAGCCCTTACCAACTTCCCACTTCAGAAGGCTGTTGTCTTCCCTCTCCATTTTTCCAATGACATACCAGATACACGCCATCCAGTGTGCAAGGAGCGCAAACATGGACATGAGCAGAGTCAGGACGATTGTGCTATGCTGGGAATAACGGTCCAACTTCTGCAGGAGACGCAAAAGACGCAGCAGCCGGACGGTCTTCAGGAGATGCACGAGAGACACCTGTGGGAGGAGACAGAGTGGCACAACTTGGCCCACGGCTCATTCCATGCTACAACAGTTACTTTAACTTATGGCCATTCTGGAAAGTTCTTGAAATTAAATATAATCATGAGTCCAACGCTATGGTCATTTTTATGACCATACCAATGCCCCTTCTCAACATATTATTATCAAGAGGTGATAGAATAAAAGATGATAAGACAATTTAATTTCTTTTAATTAATACTTATTTTCCTTAAGATTTATCTTTTTTCCTCTACTGATTTGATTGAATATAATTTTGTATATTCTGATACACAACTGAAGCACATTAGGGTTTCAGGATTGATCAGGGTGTCTCCACCTTTTACATACATTTTCTTTCAATTCCACATCCCTTCCTCCATGTAAGAGTGGCTTTATAACAATAATTTGTACCCGCTGAAGTAAAACTGTGTGAAGTGGTAACAAAGGTAACTTCATTTTTGAAATAAACAGTGATTAGATCTATCAAACTTCTGTAAGATCTACTCACAAATACCAGTAGCACCTCCCATCTCATGTGCTATGCTTTCTTCTAACATCATCGATAGAGAAAACACATGCCTGAAGCCTATACATTCTGAGCCCTCTCTCAAACAGACATGCTTAGGGAACCAAAATTAAAATGGAACAAAATTTTTGAAAACTCTCCTAGGTCCTGTCTTCGTATGCACTAAAACAATACACTTATAGCTAAGGGATTATTTTCCTGACTTCAGGACCAATCTGAAAAATGTGCACCATTGGTGACCACCAGAATGGTTGATGTCATTGTTAACAATATGTGTGGTGTACTAATGCATACTCTTTTACGCCTCCAGGAGCCTCAATGAGTTTTCTAAAATAGAAAAGGCAAATAAAGTATTAGCTCATATGCAAATAGAGTTTGACAAATTACTTGACCTTTTTTTAATTTGGGGTGTGTGTTTGTGGAAGAAACCATAAATAAAAGGGAAGAAAGTGGTTTGTATGACTACAACTCAACAGACAGAATCATAAACAAGGTCAGCATCTTCTGGAAATTTGCCTTCATAATTAGTCCTGGAGTCAGCTGTTGACTTCTAGTTCCTTCCTCCACTATCGATCTCTCCTTATGTTTAAGAAAATCATACCTAGAGTAGTGCCTGACACATAGTAAGTGCTCAATAAATATGTGTTAAATGAATGAATGGGTAATAAATTGAGATACAAAACACTCTACACTCAATATAATAATAGAAATTCAATAAACGTGCTTTCAGTTGTAATCTGGTGAATTATTCTACACTGAAATATAATAAAACCATAAGGTCATTTGAAGCACTTGCCAGCTAGCTGTATTTTTATTTCTTTTTCTCATTCTTCTGTGTCAAGTTTTATTTCTTCTCCTTTACAGCCAAGTGCTCGTCTGTCATTGCTCCAGCTCATTGTAAACCAGATGACTACATGCCAGTACTTTGCAATATCTACTTTGTAGCTTAGAGGAATTACCAGGGGTGGAGTTTATTTTATAGGTGGAAGAATATGATGGATAGATGACAGTTTTGTAATTGAAATGAAACCTCAAACAGAAAGCCCAGATGGAGGAAGCCATCTGCTGTGGACTGATTTTTGTTCTTCCAAATCTCACGTGTTGAAGCCCTAGCCCTCAGTGTGATGGTAACTGGTGATGGGGCCTTTAGAAAGTAATCTGGTTTAAATGAGGTCATGAGGGTGGGGTTCTCAAGATGGGATTAGTACCCTTATAAGAAGAGTCCAGAGAATGCTCTCTCTCCTCTTCTCTTCCTCTCTCCCTCCCCCCCTCTCTCCTTAACCCAATGTCTCTCTCTCCCCTTGCCACGTGAGAACACAGCTAGAAGATAGCTATCCACAAGCCAGGAAGAGAGCCCTCATAAAGAACCAAATTGGCTGGAATCTTGAGCTTAGACTTTCCAGCCTTCAGAACTGAAAAATAAATTTCTATTGTTTAAGCCACCCAGTCAATGATATTTTGTTATAGCAGCCTGAGCAGACTAAGTAAAACACCATTGAACATAGAATATTGATGTGGGCAATCTCTCCATTTTCTCTCACCAGAAAGCGGATGTTTGAGGGAAGAATAGGGGCTGTCCTTACATGAGAACAATAGTCATTTGGAAAGATAAGGGACACAAAACTTGGTGTCCAGGATGAGGTAGCCTTAGTGATTTTGCTGACACTTTTGAAATAAATTATACTTATTCCATCGGAGTCAACAGCTTCTTGCTATAACATGTGAGTTTGGGATCTTAATGAATGATAGAAGAAAGAGGCATATTTGATTTAGATGGAAATATATAATCTGAAAAAAGGGAACATATTTTCTTTTTTTTAATTTTTTTATTGTTATGTTAATCACCATACATTACGTCATTAGTTTTGGATGTAGTGTTCCATGATTCATTGTTTGTGCATAACACCCAGTGCTCCATGCAGAACGTGCCCTCTTTAATACCCATCACCAGGCTAGCCCATCCCCCCACCCCCCTCCCCTCTAGAACCCTCAGTTTGTTTTTCAGAGTCCATCGTCTCTCATGGTTTGTCTCCCCCTCCGATTTCCCCCGCTTCATTCTTCCCCTCCTGCTATCTTCTTCTTTTTTTAACATATATTGCATTATTTGTTTCAGAGGTACAGATCTGTGATTCAACAGTCTTGCACAATTCACAGCACTCGCCATAGCACATACCCTCCCCAATGTCTATCACCCAGCCACCCCATCCCTCCCACCCCCCACCACTCCAGCAACCCTCAGTTTGTTTCCTGAGATTAAGAATTCCTCATATCAGTGAGGTCATATGATACATGTCTTTCTCTGATTGACTTATTTCACTCAGCATAACACCCTCCAGGAAACGTATTCTTTCTACTCTTGGGATGCTGTTCTGAATTTGTCACTGATAAAAATTAGAAGCAGCTTATAGGTAGGTGCAAGACAGTGATGTACTCATCAGAACCCCTTATCAAATGGCAGTTTCCCTTATTACCAGCTGGACATGATCAGCCCCTGGCTATCCACAACGGGGAGAAAGAGAGAAAGAGAGAGAAGTTGATTAACATGCACTGAGGTCTTTCTGGGTGTTTGACACTTAGCAAGGTATTTTATAGAAATGTTGCCTTTTTAGGCTCCTGAGAAACTCTGTAGCGATTTTCATGCTCATTTTGCCAATTTTGATGTTAACTTCCCCAAGGAAGTCACTCAAACAGTAAGTGATAAGACTGGGATTTATACTTTTGCCTTTTTCACTCTATCATATTTTCTGTCTCATTCACAACTTTGTCTCTCAGAGTGCCTTTCATAGTGACTTACACCTAGTAAATTTTATTAAAGAAATATGTGAGCTGTGTATAAAACATTTATCATCAGCAGTTATGGGCAAAGTCAAAATTAGAGCATCCAATACGTTTTTGATGGTTGTAATGTGTTTTTGAATGTCATCTACAGAGATGCACTAACTGGATGTATTTTATTTATTTATTTTATTTTGTAAAAGATTTTATTTATTTATTTGACAGAGAGGGACACAGTGAGAGAGGGAACACAAGCAGGGGGAGCTAGAGAGGGAGAAGCAGGCTTCCTGCTGAGCAGGAAGCCCAATGTGGGGCTCGATACCAGGACCCTGGGATCATGACCTGAGCGGAAGGCAGATGCTTAACGACTGAGCCACCCAGGCGCCCCTAACTAGACGTATTTTAAATCTGGAAAGCCAACATCTGTGCTTGCTTATTTATCTGTTTTTTCCACCCCCCTTTTTTTGTAAGTCTGTGCAGTATAAAAATAGCATAATGTATAAACTTTTCCTCATAACTTATGTTTTCCTGGGGAGTAAATATAATTTACTCCCCAGGAAATCATTATACAAGACTTTCTGTTCAAATAGAATATTTCATCTTGCCTAATTTATTTGGGGGCATAGCAAATTTATGCACCGATTTGTTAATGATCATATGCTCACTCCTGTGAGAAGCAGAAAAATTATCACTGAGAAAAGAGATTCCTTTATTTCTTCCTCTTTTTCTTTCTTTCTAACATAGATGTTGATCTATAACTTGCATTCTTTATAAAATGTTCATGCCAGATTTCACAAGACAGAATGAGGAAAGGGAGCAAGAATGCAGTAAAAGTGTACAAGTATTTAAAATTCATCAAAATATGAGAATTAGACTTTTTCAAAAATCCTTTGTGTTAATTTTAGGCAATGAGGATGTTAATGATATATAAACATATTATGTATCTTAAAATTGTATATATTTTATAAATAATTATATAACATATATTTTAAATAATTCTATTTGTTCAGTGCCCAAAGAGAAATGGAACATAAAAAGATGTTATTAGTATTTAGTAGCAAAGCAGTAAGTTAATTTAGAGCACAGTCTATTGAACACCATTTATTTAACAATTCTCCAAGAGAATGTGGAAAATCTTTCTTAGCATTTTGTGAATTATTTATTTCTTTTGAATTTTTTTTGTTGCAGTCTTGCAAAAGCCTTGTTTTAAGTCATTATGCTTTCATTATATTACACTTATCTACTCAAATTCAATTTTAAAAAGCCCTTTAAGGAGTTTGGATAACAATTCAATGTGGCACTGATTGAGATTATATACTAAATTTTTCCCCAGAGGTTTCCTTTCGGTTGATTTATAAACCTCTTAAAGATGTTGACACTCTCAAATTTCCATCTTAAAAAAAAATAGAAAGAAAAAGAAAAGAAAAATACTATTATATAGGTAATTAACAAATGCACAAATCTGTACTAAATTGTCAGAATTACAGTTCAATCTTCATTCTGAAGTCAATAAGGACTGTATTTGAAAAATACTGATCACTTTAATATTGAAAACTATGCTTTTAAATTCTTGATAGAGAATTTCAAGGGGTTGTTGACTGAGTAAGAAATACGTTTAATTTCAACTAATGTTTAATCAACTTTTGCCTGCTCTAATTGGTTCCTCTCGCAGCAAATTGCATTACTGACCCCAAACTGCTATTATACCTCCCTAAAAGTCTCTCTGTGTATAAGGGAGCACTTCATGCTTTTAAGAACAATTGTTTAATAGTAAAAATAGCTACTACCACAAGTGGACATATTTGCTTTGCATGAGGAGGCATAAGGTTTTATAAAAGCTTTCCATGAAGAAAGTGGAGAAGTTACAATCCTAGAGAAAAGTTAAAAATCCAACAGAGCTCTCAAGCTCATGGTCACTGTGTCATTTAGGCTTCTGCCCCACCCAACATTTTTACAAGAACTTCTAAGAAGTGGTTGCATTCTTTTATTTTAATTTCGGTATTTTTCTGTGTCTTGATTGGTCTTTTGTTTGTTTTGCTGGTGAATAATGAAATACTCAAGGGGTAGAGAATAAAAGTCATAAAACTGGAAGAAATCTTAAACTCTCTGCTGAACTTTGGAGGCAAATATCTGCTTAAGTAATACAAATGTATTTAAATAACTCAAACAGGTAATGCAAATTTCAAAAGGAACTAACTTCCTCAAGTGGACAATCTGTGGCCTCCGTACCATTGGCCACTTTGGTGTCTTTATTCAGGAGGGCACAAAGTCCTGGATGCATAAATTGTCACAAACACTTAAAACCTGAACATGTGGAAAATAAACACAGGGTTAAAAATAACCTTCAAGGTCATGTGGAAGAGTCCTCTTTACTCACCACTGTGACGTTGAAAGCATACAGGAGATCAAAAGGCAGGGCAGCGATTAAATCAATGATGAACCAGGTTGTGACGTAGTGGATGCAAATTGATCTTGCTTCAAAGATAACTTGGCCAGACTTGCTAACATAGGTTGTTCGGAAATTTAAAATAATATCTGCTTGAGAAAAAAAGATAAGAGAAAGAGAAGGAAGGAACAGAGAGAAGAAAAGGAGGAAAGACAAGGAAAGAAGGAAGGATGGAGGTAGGCAGGCATGCAGACAGGGAGGGAGGAAGGGGGAGGAAGAAAATTGCATAAAATTAAATAAAATCAGACAAACAGTAACCTCTTAGTGTATTTCAGACTGATAATACCTGAAATACTCTTCTTGACAGATCCAGCTCAATTCAACAAACAAGTATTGAAGAAGGGTGAAGAAAGTAATATTCTCTGAGCACTTAATACATTCCAGACATTGGGCCACACGTTAGCATAATTAAAACGAATAAAAATAGCAATAACAACAATAGTCATCAGTTACTAAATGCTCACTGTGAACTAGGCATTGCCCTAAGAACTTAGCATAGGTTATTTCACTTAATCCTCAGAACATGGTCTTAAGGAGACAGTATTACCTCCATGTTAAAGAGGCAAAAACTAAGTCTTAATGAGGAAAAGTAACACATTCACGATCATAATGTCAACAGTGGCAAAGATGATTTTGAGCACAGATAGAATTTCTACTCTGTATTTTTTTTTAATAAAATTCTACTTTATTTCATGAGCTAAGTTTTATTAATCACTGCAGGGACAGAATTCATCTCTGCCCTAAAGGCACTTATATTAACAAAATACCAGAGGATTCTTGTTTGGATTTCTAGGTTAAGTTTCCCCATTCCATTTTCACGGATGATGTAATCATTTCCCTACATCATTCTTTTGTTATATTTTATTTTATATTTTATTATTTATTGAGTTTTTTTTACAATATATGAGGCCCTCCTCAGTGCTGGTCAAATGACAGCCAGAACCACAAAGATCATCTTAGGCTCACTCCTGCTATCTATGAATAAACATCTCGGAGTCTGTTACACTAGTCCCTGGGTTAAATATTATTAAAGCACTGGAAAAGATTACCTTTTCCTTAGTTTGTTTTAGAGTTGAGCACAACCAGGCCATAGGGAATTTCAGGATTGCTTCATACATGTAAGGGGGATAATGGATGAGTATTTTATGGACTAGTGAATTCAATAGAACATACTTCTCCATGGAACTTTGTTCTTGGGAGTGAATGTGGAAAGTAAATACGCCAGTCAAAGAGAATAGGAATTGAGGGAGTTACGAAGCAAATGCAAAGCTCTGAGTTACATGGTTTTTGAATGAATTGGAATACTCTTTACAGTTAATTTAAACCTTTGAAAATTAGCAGAATAGGGTTGTGAGAGGATAAAAATTTGGTATCATGATCATGATGATGATGGCAGTGATAAGACATACAATAATGTGCACTTGGCATGTCATTTTTACTTTTCACTTCATGTTCACACTTGTGGTACACAGAATTCAAAGATGACCCTCACTCTCATATGATCTCCTCCCCTTAAGTGGGGGTGGAGCCTGTGAGCATGATAAGATATCATGCCATGATCATGTTGTAGGATATGGCTAATGGGAGAGTCACCTAGGTGGCCTGACTTGATCAGGTAAGCCCTGTCCAAGCAAGTTTTCTTCAGCTGGTGGTAAGGGATTGGAAGCCAGTGAGACACATTCTTCCTGGCCTGGAAGAAAGCAACGGCCACAATATGGAAAGGGCCACGTGGCAGGGAAGGGCAGGCAGTCTCCAGTTGCTGAGAGTGGCCCCTTACTGACATCTAGCATGAAATGGGGACTTCTATCCTGAGGAAATGCATTCTTACAACAGCCACATGAGTTTGCAGGAGGATCTTAGGCTCCAGAAAGAAACACACCTTAGTTGGCACCTGGATTTCAGCCTTGTGAGGCTCTGAGCAGAGCATCCCACTAGGCCAGACCTATCCGACCTATAGAAACTGAGATAATAGTTGTTTTAAGTTGCCAAGTTTGTGGCAATTGGCTCTGCAGCACTAGAAAAATGAATACAACATAGGAACTATGACAAGACAGATTACTATTACATTATTATAGATAACACACATGCAGTTAGCATGAGCCTGGTACTCTTCTGGGTGCTGTATAGTCATAATCTCATGGACTCCTTACAACGATGCTAAGAGGTAGACAGTTTTATTATACTCTTTTACAGATGAGGAAACTGAGGTGCAAAGGAACTGAAGTGACTTGTCCAGGGTCACACAAACAATGAAACTGAAGCATAGGATTAAACTCCTCAGCTAGTTAGTCAAAGAGCAAGACCCAAATCCAAGTCTCCTAATTTGCAATTCAGCACTTTGGCTTTTGGTACCTTCACAGAGGCCAGTCACCTCCCAAGTCTGGAAGCAAGTTCTAGAGGACTTAAAAAAAAAAAAAACAATAAACTTTTCTAGTCTACGGTGAATGAACCAACTTTTTAAGTTGGTTCATTATTAAAAGTCACATTTTTGGGCGCCTGGGTGGCTCAGTTGGTTAAGTGACTGCCTTTGGCTCAGGTCATGATCCTGGAGTCCCGGGATCGAGTCCCGCGTCGGGCTCCCTGCTCAGCGGGGAGTCTGCTTCTCCCTCTGACCCTCCCCCCCATGCTCTCTCTCTCTCTCTCTCTCTCTCTCATTCTCTCTTTCAAATAAATAAATAAATAAAATCTTTAAAAAAAATAAAAGTCACATTTTTGTCAAAAAAATAAAAAATATTGAAATAGTTCTATTGCTAATATTGAGAATCTGAAATGAAGAAGCAGTGGCTAAACCATTCACAAAAGATGAAAACAATCCCAAGGTGATTTTTGCTGCAAACTAAAAGTGTTATCACGGCAAAATAGCAAAGCATCATGGCCACCGAGAAGGAACAGAACACAGTGGAAGGCCACCAGGCTGTTATGGTAGCATGTGAACTTCCCATTTTTTCTCTTAACTTTCTGGGTTCATGTATTTCCTTATCAGGAAGCCAATTTAATGGGTCAGGCCATCAGCTGTTGAAATAAAGCAGGGATTTCAACTTCCTGCTGTCCAAAAGAAAGCTCAGATTAGGCATTTAGGTATTCTTTTTTTTTTTTAGATTTTATTTATTTATTTGACACACAGAGAGAGACAGCGAGAGAGGGAACACAAGCAGGGGGAGGGGGAGAGGGAGAGGGAGAAGCAGGCTTCCCGCGGAGCAGGGAGCCCGACGTGGGGCTCGATCCCAGGACACTGGGATCATGACCTGAGCCAAAGGCAGACGCTTAACCAACTGAGCCATCCAGGTGCCCCTAGGCATTTAGGTTTTCATCTTATGAGTGAGAAATCCAGAGTTATTTACCAAACCCTTCCGGTGATCTGTGGTTTCCATAACACAGGCAAATTCATTATAAGATTGGAGGGAGAGAATCCAATTCCGTAAGTCTGCAAGTAAGACTGGAGGGACAGAGTCACTAAATTCTCCTCCTGAAACCAATATTACACAATATGTTAACTAACTAGAATTTAAATAAAGATTTGAAAAAAAAAAGGAAAAGAAAAAGATTGGAGGGACAAATTCCTTGCATATTTACTAACTGATCACCCGTTCTAGAAATTTCACAGAAAATCCCCTGCCACCATCCACATTCCTGGGGCACTCCCATGAATGGAGGAATGAATAAAATGACTGGCCTTTGGTTGATTGATGCAGCAAACATTTTTAAAGCTGTGTAGTAAATTATGTGTTTGACTAAAAAATAAAAGAGGTGCAGATCTTCTGAATAGAAAAGACATTTTCTTGGATGAGTCATTACAGAATATCAGTTTAGAAAGCTTTTAAAAAAAATAATTTGTTACTCATTTGAGTTAATTGGGCGAACAGAAGATATGTTAATTTCAGGTTTTTTAAAAAGAAGTAATTATAAGACTTTTATACACAAATAGTGATAATAGTTAAAGAATATAAAAGTGATTATTTTTATATCTATGGATACAAATCTATTTTTGAAATACATGAATATTTTAGACTTATTTTCAGGGAGAAAAAAACTACATATATATCATATTCTAAGATTTCCAGGATAATGGTCTTATTGTTGTGCAAAACCGTAGGTTTATTCCATGATTAGTATTATTTTTGGAAAGCTCATTTCTAAGAAACCTACTTTTGTCATATGCATAAAAATAGACATAATTCTGGTGTATTGTGATTTACAAAAACTTTCTCACATTCATGCATTTGTGTGACAATACCAGCTCGCTCAGGTGTACTATTTTATGACTCAGGAGATTTAAGAACCTTGTTTAAAGCCATGAAGAGAGTAAGCAACAGAGCACAGGGCATCTATTGATACTTGATCCCTTTTTCTTTCCATTATCTTCAAGATTACCACACTTCCCAATATATTTTAGAGGGAATAACAATAGGTTGGTGCAGGGAAATGCATTTGTGATCATATAGCCCTTGGGTCAGACACAGCATCAGCACCACCCAGGTAAAAGAATGTCATAGAAGTGACATAGGAGTCACAGAATTGAGTGTAAGGTAATGAACTGTCTTTGATTCTCTCTAGGGACAACAGGGAATACTCTGTTTTCTCTCCACTGATCAGAATGTGGTATCGGTGTTCAAGAACCAAGGGAACACAATGCTTATAAACATCCCCTTAAATAGGAGAGCAGAGATGGCTATGCAATTTCTCTAAGAATGAGGGAAGCATAGAATAAAAAAAGATTCTGATGAGGAAGAAAAGAGCCTTCCTTCCAGAGCTGGTGTCCCTCCTAAGAGAATCACAGCAGCAAAGTGGAGCTTGGCAAAGGTTGGCTTCAGCTGCTCCTCCCCCTGTGCTTGTCTCACTTCCTCTAAAGGCTGTGTAACTTTGGCAATTAAATCAGTGACTCATCCAAAAGTTACAGGAAGAATGTGGTCTCCTCCAGGCAGTCCACAGCCTACCTGAAAGGCAACAGTATGGTTTCTATTTTGAGACATCCGGAAAGCATAAGTATAAAGTTTCTTCCCATATGTTGGAAAATACATGAAAGCATACTACCATGGGAGACTATGGACTCTGAGAAACAAACTGAAGGTTCTAGAGGGGAGGTGGGTGG